TGCAAAATTATTGAAACTTAACATTTCAATTGACCCAAATTGATTTTTTTTTTTATTTTTTTTTTTTAATTTTCAGTTTGTGAAAAAAATTTAATGTTTTGACCTTTTGTCCTGATTCAGGAGGGGAAAAGTTTTTTGAAATCTCAGAAGTTTTCACAGGACAGGAAAACCGTTTCCAGGTTGGCTTTAACTCTAAGACAGATTTTCCAGGCATCAGATCATTCTTGTAGCTCTTCCTTTCCAATTTTGAATCCTTTCCAATTTTTCAACATCATTTTAAAGTATCTTTTTAAATCCACATGTTTACACTTCAGTATTTGATTGTTTTCTGAAGTGGAAAGAGAGAAGAGTGGGGAGGAGACATGGATTTTAATTGAGTCCCCTTTAATTGAGTCCACACATATGCAGCAAGCAGGAGAGAGCAACTCAGTACATTTCTATTAAAGGCAAAGAGTCTTGCAGGCTCCACATGTTCCCATCTGAGAGTTGCGCCAAGGAGCACAGTGGTGTAAGCAGAGTCAGGATAAGCTCTACCCTGACATCTGGTGGTAAATTATGGCGAGGGTGGAAAAGAACTTCAGGGGCTGATCTTGTTTGCATAGGCACACCCACCCGCCTAGCCTGGGACAACAACAACTGAAAGTGGCTACTTTGGCTAGTGTGGGATCCCCAGTTTCTCTGTTATTGGGGCAGGAAGAATAAAGTGTTGTTACCCTGATTCTGTGAATCAAGGCCAGTGGAACTGTTGTATGACAGAGGGACTCACCAGTAACTAAGTAGCACTCGCTAGACAAGGGGCATGGGTTACAAAACCCAGTGAATTGAGAGAGGTTGGGGATAGGTATGTGTACTGGATGGCATGGGCCCCTTTTGAGGGCCTGGAACACCAATTGCACTACTCCCTTTCTCCACTGTTAAATAGCAGAGCTAAGTTTGCTTCCATTAGGAGTATAGCTAGAAGTTGCTGAACTGAATTTACTTTGGGCCAATGGTGCACCAGCACTGGGGCTCCCCTGCTACAAGCTGAAATCACTAAAAGAGCTAACATTGCTGAGCTAAGATCACTCAGTGCTGTGTTAACCAGGGGCAGAGCCTGAAGATATATTGCTAAGCAGCTGGTGGAGCCGAGCAGTTTGTGGGACGGTTGGAGCGGCCCACGGAACAACGAGTGGAGCTGCGCAGAGTGGAGCTGAGCCATTTGCGGGGGCAGCTGGAGCGGTTCATGGGAGGGCTGGTGGAGTGGAGTGGCTGGCAGAACTGAGCAGTTTGTGGGACGGTTGGAGCGGCCCACGGAACAGGGAGCAGAGTGGAGCAGTTTGCAGGGACGGCTGGAGGAGCGGCGCGGCGCGGCGCGGCTGGTAGAGCGGAGCCATTTGTGGTAAAGGCTGCAGCAGAACTCCACAGAGAGGTGGGGCAGTCAGCCTCGGACCACGTAAGGTGCCCCTTAACATCCTGTGTGCCCCCCCCCATTTCCGCCCAGGCTGGGGGGGTAAAACTTTGCAGATAAATTTTGAACTCTGGGGCGGCACTGACCAGGGACAGAGACTTTGGGGTTGTTGGACTTTGGGGTGATTGGACTTAAGACCCAGAGGGGAAAAGGACACTGCCAAACTTACTTGGAGGTGGGTCTTTTCCTCATGGTTTGTGTTATGAATCCTGTTTGTGGTGTTTCCCCAACATAATGCTGCATTGTTTCCCTCCTTTATTAAAAGGCTTTTGCTACACTCAGACTCTGTGCTTGCGAGAGGGGAAGTATTGCTTCTGAGAGGCGCCCAGGGGGTGGTATGTAATTGTCCCAGGTCACTGGGTGGGGGCTCGAGCCGGTTTTGCATTGCGTTATTGAAACTGAACCCCTAGATACTGAACCCGGCCCTTGTTGCTGCCAACTCAGAGGGGCAGAAGAGTTACAGTGGTAAAAAGGTTGTAAATATGGGAGATGAAGACAGCCCTGTGGACTCAGGAGCTCATTGACGCAGAACTAAAGGGATGTGTCTATTGTGAAGGATGCGTCCCAATACCTCTACCAGGAAAAGGTGAGAGTGATGGGAGCTTCATGGATGGAGAGAGAGCAAATAGTGGGAAACATCTTTTATGGAAGAAGGGGATTGAAGAAACTGGCCATTCACCCCTCAGCGATTGTCACAGGTCCTCTACAAATGTGCAAGACCAACCCTGAGTAGTATAATCCACCCTCACCACTGCTCAGGAGGTTATACTTCAGCCCTGCACCATTGAAGCCTGAGTGGCTTCTTTAAGCCTCCCATGTGAAATATGTTATGCTCATCCAATCCAGGAATAGAAACAATACCACGTGACTTATACAATCACAACCAGCCAGCCCAGCTCAAATTTTCAGTATCGAGTGTGGAATGCTCACAGCAGCACCCTGTTTCTGAGCATTCCATTGGGTTAAAGAAAAAAGACAGAAAACCCCCAAACTGAGAAATTACAAATAATGAGGAAGTGGGAGGTAACTGGGATGAACCCCTAAGGAGATTATTTCTAGTGGGATATTCACTCTGCTCTGGTGTTTAATTATTATTGGTGATTGGAGATTTGACACTAAAACAGGCTAATGTTGCAAAAGCCACCAGACCACTTGGGGACTGTGCATCAGCAGCAACTGGATGATTGTGTGCTGCTAATGGTGAAGCAGCGTCTTTCACAAGGTTTCCCCGTTACAGTGGACCATGCTGGTCTAGGACTTCGCCATTTCTTCTAAGATCTTTCCCTTGTCTCCCCTCTGATTGACTGACTTTCTTTGCTCTTCTCATAATGGACTAAATTCAGACCCCGCGTAAGCAGCTGTGACTTCAATGCAGTTGCTCTCACCCGTGCCAATCTGAGTATGGCCCTATGTCTTGTGTGTTCCCTGCCTCCTTTCTTCTTCTCTCTGTATAATGGAGAAGGCTAGGAAGGGGGAAAGAGAGATAATGGCAGCTAGGAGGAGGTTTAGGGACTAGGGGGACAGACTTTGCTCTTACTTTGCCTGTGGACTTGACTCCTTTCCAGATACAGAAGTAGCAGATGACCCAGGCGAGCAGGAGGCAGAGAGCCAGCTCCCAGCGCACAGTGCCCAGATTGTGAATACCGTCTGTGAGCCCCAGGGCTCGCTTCCTTCCAGTGCAGGAGGAGAGAGAAAGGTTAACATCCCAGACTTGACTCTTCCAGCAGCCCCCCGCCCAGAGTTTTCATATACATCCCATAGCGCAGCTGCCCAATCTCCCCCATCACTCCTGCTTCCAGTCACCCTAGCCCTGACAGCAATACTGTATTCTTGGTCACCACAATGCCTTAGGTGCCTCTGGGATCCCCTCGCAGCCTGGCCCCTGCAGTTCCACCTCACCCTTTAGTCAGCCTGGGCTCTCCAACTCTTCCAAAGCTCTCAATAGCCCCACTGCAGCCCCCAGTCATTCACAGCACAGTCACTCCCGATCTCACATCACTGCCATCCCTTTGGCTGCCTCGCAGGCCACACTCCATCAGCAGCCTCCCCTACAGCCCCCCGGAATCATCAATGGCTCCTAATCACCTGCTGGCTACTTTGTTTCCTCCAAACATCCCATGTTCTATGGCTTTCTCCAGGAACCCTTATGGTTATGGCCCTCACTCATCCCTACAGTTTCCCCTCAGCACCCAGGGTCCCTAAGGCTATGTCTACACGATGAGCGGGGTGATTCCCACTTCACCGAGCAATACTCGCCCTCACACTCACCTGAGTTAGCACACTGACAATAGCAGTGTGGCCGTGGTAGCATGGGCAGGGGTGCCTTGTGCTAGCAGCTCCCACTACGTACCCATGGCGTTCAGAAGGGTTGTACTCAGGGCATCTAGCACGGTGCTGTCTCTGCCCATGCTACCATGGCTACACTACTATTTCTACTATTTTAAGCATGCTAGCTCAGATGAGAGCTGACATCAGTATATCTACAAGAGCTGGGACCGCACAGTCCCATTCACAGTGTAGACATAGCGTAACAGGGACCATGTGAGAACTGACCACCATGTCCAGACACTTCCCCTGCAGCCTCTCACTACCCTAATAGCTATGACAACTCTATGTCCTCCCGGACAACACCCCCCGACCCCGAACTCTAGGGGCTCCCTTGTAGCTGACAACGTTGTACTGAAATCACAATGGTTTTTGTAGCTATTGGTGGATGGGCACATGGCATGGGAGCCTGACACTGAAGTCCCAGCTCTTCCTCTGGCTCATCCTGTGGCATTCGACAAGTCACTTCACCAGTGGGGAAGCTGAGACACAGCAAAGAAAAACCCGCAGCTGGCCCGTGCCAGCTGACTCAGGCTCGATGGGTTGGGCTGTGGGGCTGTTTCACTGCAATGTAGATTCCTGAGCTTGGGCTGGAGCCCAGAATCAGGGACCCTCCCACCCGGCAGGGTTCTTGAACCCAGGATCCAGCCCAAGCCTGGACGTCTACACAGCAATGAAACAGCCCCGCAAGCCCGAGTGGCCTGGCACAGGCCAGCCGTGAGTGTCTAGTTGCTGTGTAGACATATCCAGACAGGCTAAGTGGGATAATAGATACTGATCACCTTTGCAAAGCACTTTGAAAGCAATGGATGAAAATGTGCTATTGTGATTGAGCCCCTGATTCCCACTTGCTTCCCGTGACTTCCCTAGATTGGGCGGGGGCACAGTTGTGAGTGTGAGTCCTTACAATTACAACTCCCATATTGTTCACGCCCCCTGAGGGCCAGTGCTGGATGATTCCCTACAGTGTATTCTGCAGCATTTCTCCTTTCAGGACTCCTCTCGGGTGCTACGTCTGTTTGCCCTCTGGGTGGTTTCACGGGGTGCATTAGGTACCCAGCAGTAAAGAATCACAGAAAAAGTTGCTTTCCTCGAACACTGAACAAGGAACTCAATTAGAATAAGGGGAAAAGCTACTTTGTCTCTTCCTGCTTCACCGCAGAGCATCTTTGCAGAATCTTTTCAAGCCCCCTCCCACCTGGCCTCCTGCTCTAGATAGATCATCACACTTGGTGTGCATACATGCATGCCCGCTGGGTGTCTGTCAGGGCGGCCCTGCCAACATGTGTTCAGGCCCTCTGTATCCACAAACTGCAGATGCTGAGTGCATCTGCCATGTCAGAAAGAATGTGTCCGTGTGTGTACATGCATGTGTTCTCAGTAAGGGTCAATGTCTGACCTCTGGGGCTGTGTGGTGCATGGGGTGAGACAGCGCGAGTCTTGGGAGTGCCCATGTGCCCATGGATTTCTGTCAGTCAGTGTGCCCAGTCAGTATGCAAGTTTGCATGTGCAGTGAATGTGCTCATGTGCACCATGATGTGCGATGTGCCATAGGTCTGGGCTCCGAGATGTGGCACTTGCACATCTTTTTTGGCCTTACAGAGACTCCATTTGGAGTACTCACACTGCTGTGACCGCTTGAGGAGAGAAGAGTGTGAAACCAGGGTACGTACTCCCAGAACTCAGTAACTGGGGAGGTGGCATTAGCAGGCGCTGTCCAGTTCTCCACATTAGAGTGATTCAGAAAGTCCACGCAGCGATCTACAAAGGAGGAAGCAAGTCGGTGAGTCTGGAGAATTCTCATGTTTCTCAGCCTTTGTGCTCCCTCCCGCCTCCTCCCTGTTCATTGCAGCTGCACACAAACACTGCATGCTGCCCTGTAAAACATCACTCTCCCCCCACCCCTGCCAGAATCCTAGTCCAGGAACAGCCAGAGGGATGGGGGAAGTGGAAGTTCCTTACTGAATAGAACCCAGATGGCTGTGGAATGCAGGGTACTGTGGGGCAGCGACTACGGTTACCCAGGCTGGGAAGTTACTTAATGTTAAGAGATAGCTCAGAGAGGAATTTCCCTGGCTTTCCCCACAAATAAAGCTCTGCTTGTGGAGCTGTGAGAGTCGAGCCCCCCGTTTGGGGGGGGGGTGAAGAGGCTGGAATAAGCGATACTGGAAAAAGCACAATTTTGCCGGTGTAAGCTGCAATCACATGAGACGTGCTTTGCCTGTACAGTACACTGGTGCAGCTATCCCGACAGTGCACTCCTAGCAGAGACCTGGCCTGAGTGAGCCAAAGACTGACTCAACAAACCGTTCTCTGCTGTGACGGAGGCTGGCCCAGATGCTTGAGGGTCTGAGGTGCAGTGAGTGGGTTGTGCTGTACCCCGTCACACTAGATAAGGGCAGTGCCAGCTCCAGTGAAAATCTCCTTCCATGGCTTAGAGTGGGGTGATGACTCCAGACTAAAGCTGGTCTGAAAATGGGCTTTTTTTGCTGCTGAAAATTTTGAATTTCCTTTGAAAAATCGAAAACCAAAACATTTTGATTCAGAAATGCTGCCATAGAGTTGTAGTTTGGATGTCACATGCTCCCGCTATGAGCTGAGTTCCCTGGTCAGACTACCTAACCCATGATGCACCATGGTCTCTCCTCACAGTGTCAGGAGGCTGTTGCATCCTGGCCATGGTGCATCATGGGAGAAGTAGTCTAGCTGGGGAGTCCAGCCCATAGAGAAGAATGGGCATATGAGCAGGGCTGGATTTCCCATTAGGCACAGTAGGCATGTGACTAGGGGCATCTAAAAATTCAATTTTTGCCAGGTCCCAGCAGGGGTGGGGCCAGAGTCAGCTGAACGAGAGATGGCCCCATGCAGCCCTCCTGGATCGCTCCTCGCTCAGCCCAGCAGACACAGTCACCTCCCAGTGGGGCTGGTGAGTGCAGTCTCGGGGCAGAGCAGGTCTCTGGTGGGGTTGTGGAGAGGCTCTGGGTAGTGGGGGGTGTCGGAGGTATGTGTGTGTGTTGGAGCAGTGCAGGGTCTGTGGTCAGGGCCAGCTGCAAGCACCAGCGCAGCAAGCAGGTGCTTGGGGCGGCCAAGAGGAAGGGGCGGCACGTCCGGCTCTTCGGCAGGAATTCGGCAGTGGGTCCCTCGGTCCCTCTCGGAGGGAAGGACCTGCCGCCGAAGTGCTCCCAAAGAAGAAAGCGGCGCGGTGGAGCTGCCGCCGAAGTGCCGCCATTCGCGATCACGGCTTTTTTTTTTTCCGCTGCTTGGGGCAGCAAAAACCCTGGAGCCGGCCCTGTCTGTGGTAGAGGGGGTTGGGTGGCGGGATGCCTAAAAGTTACAAGTGGCAGGACCCCCGCTGCCCGCAATGGTTAGGAGCTCCGAGCCACTGTGGGGGTACCCCACAGTTCCCGTCTGCTGCCAGGCAGCAGGGACCGCTGGAGCTCCCAGCCAGAGGCGGATAAGGGGTTTGTGGGTCTCTGGGCCAGAGCAAGTGGGGGACACACCTGCAGTCCATTCCATCCCCACCCCTGCACTCCTGCTGGGGAAATGGGGTCAGAGCACGGGGGCTTGCCCAGCCTTCCCCCCGCCCCGCCACTCCTGCTGGGTAGACAGGTCAGGGTGCGGGGGGCTTCTCTCACTCCCCATCAAGAGCACCAGGTGGGTCGGGGGAGTGGGGCAAGCCCCTGCGCCCTGACCCCGCTCCTGGGCAGGAGCGACGGGGCAGGCAGTGGAACAGATCAGGGTACTGGGGGCCCCCCGTTGACCAGGACTCCTGGGCAC